TTGTAGTTTTCCTTGAAGAGGTTTTTCACCTCTTAGGTTGGCTAGGCTGGTCTTGAACTCCTGGCCTCAAGTGATCCGCCTGTCTCAGCCTCCCAAACTGCTGGGATTACAAGCATGAGCCACCACCCCTGGCCACTTCTACCACTTTGTTAAATGGATAAACACTGCTTAATTTTTACTAATCTAGTTCCTATCTTAAGCTAGACTATCTTTTTCTACCAAGGTATAATCAAGGAACTTGATTTTACAAGAATGAAAAACATTTCCTAGAAATATGGTAAGAAAAAAATCTGTTAATACTGAAATTCCAGTTGTTATTCCTCAGGAGAGAAACTGAATAGAGTGTTGTGTTTCTTTTTGCAATAAATATGTATTTAAATAATTTTTTTTGAGACAGGGTCTCACTCCATCACCCAAGCTGGAGTGCAGTGGCTTGATCTCAGTGCAACCTCAAATAATCCTCCCACCTCAGCATCATGAGTAGCTAGGAGTCCAGGTGTGTACCACTAGGCTAATTTTTGTACTTTTTGTACACACAGGGTTTTACCATGTTGCCCAGGCTGGTCAGCTGGTCTCAAACTCTTGAGCTCATGATCCAATCGCTTTGGCCTCCCAAAGTGCTGGGATTACAGGCCTGAGCCACTGAGCCTGACCCACAATCAGTGTGTGATTTTAAAAATTAAAAACAGGGCCAGGCACGATGGCTCATGCCTGTAATCCCAGCACTCTGGGAAGCCTACCTTGGCTTATGTGCGATTCAGAGCAGGAGTCTTTTCTTGACAAGAATTCCTTATAGTAGGCTTCGTTCATTTGTCTTGGAAAAAAAAGCACCAATCTAGCTTGTATATAAGTAATCCCATGCATACTGCCTTCAGGGAAGATGGAAAATGTACTACAGGTTCTACAGGTTCAATACCCCTTATCTAAAATGATTGGGACCAGAAGTGTTTGGGAATTTGGATTTTTTTTCAGGTTTTAGAATATTTGTGTTATATACTGGTTGAGCATCCCAAATCTGAAAATCCAAAATCTTCCAGTGAGCACTTCCTTTGAGTGTAAAATCTGCACTCAGAAAGTTGCCACTTTGATAGCATTACAGATTTCGGATTTTTAGTCAAGAAAATACTCCTGCTCTGAATCGCACATATGCACTCACTTTAGGAGGAACTCCCCTATTTTCCTTTCTCAAATGGCCATCTGTCCTGGCAATGCATTGAGAACTCTGAAAAAGTATATAATCGAGGCTACAATTAATTCACCTCAACTGAAGGAATAGTCTTATCAAACTCTTCAACATTTTATCTCATTTCAGTTATCTAGGTGAAACATGAATACAGGTGGCACATGCCTGTATTCCCAGTTACTTGGGAAGACTGAGGTGGGAAAATCCCTTGAACCTGCGGGCAGAGGTTGCAGTGAGCCGAAACTGTGCCTAAGCCTGGGTGACAAAGTGTGACCCTGCCTCAAAAAACAAAAACAAACGCACAGAATTCTGAGCCTGACACACGGTAGGGATGATTTGGAAGACAAGCCTGCAGTAACCGATAGTCATTAATCAGAATAAAGGCCTGGGGGCAAAAAAAAAAAAAAAAAAAACTACAAGCAAAGACTGTTGCCAATGATTCAGTTCCACTGTGACTCTCCAAGGCCTTTTCCACTTGCAGATAAATTTCTCTGAGCATGTCATAGTTGAATGGGTGAAGTTAAAGTGGAAATAGCTTTCTTCAGAGAGCAGAGTACAGACTCAAGCTAGGCAGCTTGGGTTAAATCCAGTGTACGTCTATGTTATCTTGGGTAAATATTGAATCTATGCCTCAGATTCCTCACTGATAAAACTGGAATAAAGCAGTCCCTACTTCAAAGGGTGTTGTGACTACCCAGTTAAGAGGACATCCTCCCAGTTCTTCTATACCCGCTTCCCCACTTTTTCTTCACAACACAAGTGATCAGTTAACAATATCTTTATTGTCTTGCCTCTCCCACTCACAGAAAGCAAGCTCCATAAGAGCAAAGACTTATGCCTATTTTGTTCAATGCAGTGTCCCCAATACCTAGAACATTGCTCTGTATGTAGTAGCTACTCAAATATGTTTGCTACCTAGAAATTATGGAATATGGCCCTTTGAACGAACGTAAAAATAATGCTGGAGGGCGATTTAATAATTAACATTAGAGCTGAAATCAGATTATTCCAGCACTCTAGACTATAAACTGATACATAACAGGAGAGAAACTTTAAGCTGGAGAACAACAGATCAAGCCTAGGACTTTGGGACTGGCCACCAACTCCAAGGCTGTAAAGGGGATGTCCAAATACACTGGCCTCATACTCCTTGCCTAAACATGGTTCCATCCCCAGTCACACATGGTTTAGTTAAAAGTGAGGAAATTTATAAGAAAAATCATCTTTTCTTCCCTAATCTGAGAAATACACCATGTCTGAAAGGTAAGGAAAGACAACAAGCAAAGAATCAACACGTTTTGACAATGTGCTCAGAATACCTAAGCAAGTATTTTATATGACTTGCATTTGATATAGAAGATCTGGGCTAGCCCTAGCACTGAGGGTTACCCCTGAACAAGTAATTTCTCCCATGGTGGTCACAGCTTCCAAGTTAATTTTTTTTAAAAAGCAGGATGCGGCCGGGCGCGGTGGCTCACACCTATAATCCCAGCACTTTGGGAGGCCAAGGTGGGCAGGTCACCTGAGGTCAGGGGTTTGAGACAGCCTGATCAACATGGAGAAACCCCATCTCTACGAAAAACACAAAATTAGCCAGGTGTGGTCACACATGCCTGTAATCCCAGCTACTCAGGAGACTGAGGCAGGAGAATTGCTTGAACACAGGAGGCAGAGGTTGTGGTGAGCTGAGATTGCACCATTGCACACCAGCCTGGGCAACAAGAGAGAAACTCCATCTCAAAAACAAATAAATAAATAAATAAAAAGGAGGTTGGCCTAAACACACTCTATGATCCCTTTAACTCTGAATGAGACTATATGAGGAGGTGGGGAAGGGAGAGTGATTAATGTGCAGCAGGCAACAGGTTCACCTTAGTTTTTGCAAAACCAATACCCACACGTTATAGAAAGAAGTCAGGGGGCTGTTGTAAATGTAGATATCTTATTTTTAAATATGATATCCACCCACTCTCCTCCCCAGAATGATGTCTGATGATCCTGTCTGTAACTTTTCTTTTATCCACTGCACTTACTATAAAATGCTATATTAGAATCTTTATCTGTTTTGTATCTGGCTATATTCCCTAAATGCCTAGACACATAGCTACCAATCAAAGTATTATTTGCTGACTCAATGAGTTGAGTGAATTCTAAATACATAACATAGTCAAGAGACCCTAATCCAGTTTTCCACTTAGGAAACAATCAGTATATACATGGTACTTAAGAAGAAAGGCGAGTAGTTTCAGATAGTTCTTTCATTTGCTGATCTCCTGTTCCTTAATAATCTCCCTTAAATTTCTCTTCCCTTTTTTCCCCTGTACTTCTGGAAAAAATCTCATGTCTCTAAAGCACAAAATCAGCTGTAGAAAGATTAATAAATTAGGGGGAAAAAAACATTTAAGGGGAGATAGGACGTACCTAGCAAAGGTAGACAGAAAGCTAATCGTTAGAATTCAAGGTCTGGAGACAACCCGGAGAGCAGTTTGGCTTCTATACCATAAAGGAACAAATGGATAGTAGCATAATACACATAGCGAAAGAAAAAAAAAATTTAACCCCAAAGCACCTTCATAATTATGAAGGACAATCACTTGTAACAGTAACCTGTAATGATTTTGCCTTCTCCCTCTATCATCACTCTTAATTTCAAATGCTCATTTCTAAAATCTGTGGTATGCAAAATTTTATGTAGCCAACTATATGCATATTCTAGAAGTCTCTTTCAGCGGCTTGCCTTTGAAAGAAGTTAAAAGTAAAACTCATGCCTCTTGATTGGTACAATAATAAAGGAGACTCTGGAATGCTATAAGCTACCACTCTCTCTCTAAACAGAGTGAAATCAATCTGAGCAAAGCTCACAAAGACAAAGAGACCAACAAACAGAACAAAGTAAGCCATTTGGAAAATCTCAATGATCAACCAGCTTCTTGAGTTAGCTCCAACACAACAAGAGAGGAGGATCTTACCAAAACAGCAGAAAAAAAAACTGTCTGCACTGGAAACTACCAAGGGAGTGATAAATTCCTGCATATAACACACAGGAAATGGGAGGGAAGCCACTGGAAACTGATGGTGAAAAAGACTAAATTTAAGTCCATCCAGATGTTCCAAACACCAAGCCCACAGAAATATTTACTGCAAGGGCTGGGCCATCAAGGGTACTGATGAGTATTGGAAAGTCCCTAGAGAACAGGTTTCTTTAGAGATAAAAAGAACAAAAGCAAAAAACAACACAATGAAACAACCACCAATAGCCTGGACAGAATTTAAAATATATAGATATCAGGTCCAAAGTGGACTTCTTGTGTAGGAACCAGAGAGATTTAATTGACAATTCCTAACTTTTAAATTGGCCTTTGTAAACAGAGCCAAAAAATCTTTTTGAAGGTAAAGTATAAGAAGAAAACATAATTTAATGCAATTAATGCCAAAAGTGAACTAAAATGTAATGTCCAAGATATTTCCAACATGTGTTGCTAAGATAGCTATCAACTTTTCAAACACATGTTTATATATTAAGATAATCCATCCAAGCTGTGCAGAAGAGAAAGCACCACGGACAAGGACAGAGGCACAGGTAGGAAAGCGGAGTGTTGATCAAAAGTCCAACCCACCTCAGATTGAGGAATTATCTCTAGGTTTTCTGGAGCAGTCTAATAATTTGGCACACAAACCAGCAAGGTCCTCTGCATCTCAACATTGTGTCCCCTAAATTACACTTTTCTTGCCCTAAGCCCAGAGTTATACAAGAGAATCCAGCAACGTTAAGGGTGGCATGCATTTTCACCATGGTAGACATCAACACAAACCTCACCTTGTCACTGTCATCATGACAAATGTGGTCGTGATGGATGGACTGGCACTGAAAAGAAGCACCAACACTACCTACAAGAAAAAGGGAGGAAAAGTTAAGATGCAGTAATTCCTTACATTTAAACTGCTTTACCAATTAAAAATGCTTTTACATCCATGATCTCATCTAATCTTCAACAATACTCATAAGTAGACAGAGTGGGAATTATTATTCATGCATTTTAACAGAAGAAAACAAAACACAGAGAGGCTGACCCACACAAAGTAGTAGTTAGAGAGTGGCAGGTCTAAAACTACAACTCCGTTATTCAAACCCCTAATTCCCCTTCTTTCTACTAGACTGAGTCATCTGCTTTCAAAGTAAGACCAAGTAAGTCTTGCTCTGTCGCCCAAGCTGGGAGTTCAAAGGCATGATCTCAGCTCACTACAACCTCTGCCTCTTAGAGTAGCTGGGATTACAGGCAGCTGCCACCACACCCAGCTAATTTTTATATTTTCAGTAGAGACAGGGTTTTGCCATGTTGGCCAGGCTGGTCTTGAACTCCTGACCTCAGTTGATTCACCCGCCTTGGCCTCCCAAAGTGCTGAAATTACAGGTGTGAGCAACTGAGCCCAGCCAGGATACATTTAAAGTATGTCAATCTCCACATACTTTGTGGAGAACAGATTGGGAATGAGGTGAAGTTCACAGGGAAAGAGTAGAACTAAGGAGACCAGGAACTAAGGATACTCCACAAAGTATGTGGAGAATGACATACTTTAAAAGTATCCTTTCATAACCTTCAAAAGGATAATTTCAAGAATGATCCTTTTAAAGGTTAAGACAGATCATGTCATCACTCCTCTGAAAACCTTGGTTTCTTCTTTCACTCAAAAATCCAAAGTCTTTACTTGGTCTACTACTTTATGACTACTCTGTACCTTTCTGATTATACTTCCTGCCACTTCTCCTTTCCTAATAGGAAACTAAAACACAGTAAACACACATAGCAAATTATCATGTTAGTATGTAACATACTTAAAATATCACCAGATAATACCCTTACGGGTTGAGCATTTCTAATCTGAAAATCCAAACTCTGGAACTTTTTGGTTCTGACATGCTGCCACCAAGTATAAAATTCCAAACCTGACCTCCTCTAACAGATCACAGTCAAAGCTTTGTCTCATGCACAACATTATTTAAAATATATATGTTTTGAGATGAAGTTTCGCTCTTGTTGCCCAGCTGGAGTGCAATGGCACGATCTTGGCTCACTGTAACCTCTGCCTCCCAAGTGCAATCAATTTTCCTGCCACAGTCTCCAGAGTAGCTGGGATTACAGGCATGTGCCACCACATCCGGCTAATTTCTGTTTTTAGTAAAGACAGGGTTTCTCCATGTTGGTCAGGCTGGTCTTGAACTCCTGACCTCAGGTGATCCACCTGCCTCAACCTCCCAAGGTGCTGGGATTACAGGTGTGAGCCACTGCACCCGGCCTATTTAAAATAGTATATAAAATTACCTTCAGGCTATGTATGGTATATATGAAACATAAATCAGTTTCATGTTTAGACTTGGATCCCATTCCCAAAGTATTATCTACATATATGCAAATATATCAAAATATGAAAAAATTCAAAATCCAAAATATTTCTGTTCCTGAGCATTTTGAATAAGAGATACTCAACCTGTAACAAGTCTTTGTGTGTAGTAACAAGGCCTTTATAATGGCTAGGCCCATCCAGAAGTTACATTTCCCTTTGTTGGCATTACAGCATGCTTTTCAAAATGTTTTATCCAGAATACCTAATATGTGGCCAGGCACAGTGGTTCACGCCTGTAATCCCAGCACTTTGGGAGGCCAAGGCAGGCTGATCACTTGAGTTGAGCAGTTGGAGACCAGCCTGGCCAACATGATAAAACCCCATCCCTACCAAACACTACAAAACTTAGCCAGGCCTGGTCGTGCACGACTGTAGTCCCAGCTACTCAGGAGGCTGGGGTGGGATAACCACTTGAACCCAGGAGGTAGAGGTTGCAGTGAGCCAAGACAGCCATTGCACTCTAGTCTGGGCAACAAGAGTGAGATTCTGCCTCCCAAAAAAAAAAAAAAAAAAGGCTATGTTTTTGTTGATTCTATACTAACAGTGACAGGTAGATTTCTTTTTTAAAAATCTAGCCCCAGGAATCTTGCCTGTACTTTTTAAGTAACTGTCACTGCAATGACCGTCCAAAAGAGACACACAGTAAAGTCTAATTTTTTGGTTCTCCCATTTACTGTTCTTTCAGAACTCGGAAGTCCCTTTCAGGATAGCAAAACTAATTTTTAGGTATCTTAATTTATATAGGACATTAAAACATGTTGAGCTTTAACCAGTACTTGCCCCAGAAGCAGCTAAATTCTGGAATCTGATCTCTCTGGGTCTTAACAGCATCACTGGCAGGCTAGCTGCCTTACAACTGCTACTGGAATACCAGGGTTTACAGCATGGCTGCAAATAAATGTGCTAAGAGGATTCTGAGTCTGCTCCAGAGATTCCAGCATCATCCAATTGGAAAAACCCAGCTTTACTTAACTCATGTAATCTCAATGTTTTAAACTTTTAGCTTTTTCTGCATGAACTTACAAGAGAACAAACTTCATTGTTATTATTGGCTCTATTAGACAGGACATTTTAAGATATTATTAATGTTCGGAAGATGTTAACTAACATAAGGCAAAAGACTGTGAGGATCATCTGCTTATTTACTATTACAGTAAGTGCTTAGTGATACTTCCAGATATGTAGAGCAGAAAATTCTATGTCAGAATCGGATTTGTTTTGTTTTTAGACAACCTTAATGAGATACAATTTACATCTATTATTTGAAGTATACAATTCAATTTTTTTTTAGTGTATTCACAAAGCTGTACAATCATCATCACAATTTTAGGACATTTTCACCACCCACATTTATCTCTTCCCTGAGCCACTGACAACCACTACTTCAATGTCTATGTATGTGCCCATTCTGGACATTTCATATAAACAAAATCATAAAACATGTGGTCTTTGTAATCGGGTTCATTCACCTACCATAATGTATGCAAAGTTCATCCACATTGAAGTGTGTACCAATTCATTCCTTTCTATGACTAAATAATATTCCAGTATATGGATATAACACATTTTGTTTCACTTTGGGATATTATGACTAATGCTGTTTTGACATCCATTTACAAGTTTTTATGTGAACGTTTATCTTCATTCCTCTTGCTGGGTCATTTGATCTCTCTATGCAACCTTTTGAAAAGCTAACAAACTGTTTTCCAGACTGACTGAATCATTTAAAAAATTCTACCAGCAATATATTACAGTTCCTCTGGCATTTTTTGAGTAGAATGAACTTTGGAGTCAGACTTCAATACAATTCAGAACTTTACAGACTATGTGAACTTAGGCAAGTCACTTAACAAATCATATGCCTTCCTTCTCTAAAAAATGAGAATAACATTATCTACTTATATATAGTTAATTAATTCATAGATCTGTTCTGAGAGATATTAAAGTTAGATGTATGAAAAAGCTCACAGCACAGTGCCTGGCACACAGCAATTCAAGAAATGGTACTATAATGAATACTTCTATTCACATCAAGGCTGTGATTTACCTGTGAGACATTCCTTAAGCCCTTAATTTTTTTTTTTTTTTTTTTTTTTTGCTAGAACTGTTTCATTGCCTTCTTTTTTTCCCTTTTTTTTTTGAGACAAAGTTTTGTACTTCTTGCCCAGGCTGGAGTGCAATGGCACGATAATGGCTCACTGCAACCTCCGCTGCCTTCAGGATCAAGCAATTCTCCTGACTCAGCCTCCCCAGTAGCTGGGATTACAGGCATGCACCACCACGCCTGGCTAATTTTGTATTTTTAGTAGAGAAAGGGTTTCTCCATGTTGGTCAGGCTAGTCTCAAACTCCTGACCTCAGGTGACCCACCCACCCCGGCCTCCCAAAGTGCTGGGATTACAGGTGTGAGCCACTGCACCCAGCCCTATCATTTTTTTGAGGGGGAAGAGGAGGAGATTACATGTCTGTCTCTCCAGCCAGATCATGGGCTCCCTAATTTATCTTTTCATCTTCCAGCATACAGCACATTTCCTGCCTCATGGCAAGTACTAAGCAAATGCAAAACCAAAGCGTAAGAGAAAAGAAAGGTTTTTTTTTTTTTTTTTAAATATAAAAAGGAAAAGGGGAAGAAAGGAAATTAAGCCTTCCTGATTTCTCCCTCCCCTTCCTGGTCTACACTTCCATCAGTCCCTCCACCTACAGGCCTCAACGAGATTTAATGACCTTTTCCTCCTTTCTCCCATACAAGCTGCTTAGGCCTTACTATCAAAATTCCTATGTTGAAACCTAATCCCAAATGTAAGGGTATTTAGAGGTGGGGTGTTTGGAAGGTGATAAAGTCATAAAGGCAGAGCCTTCATAAATGGGAACAGTATCCGTAGAAATGTGGCCCCAAATAATCCCTCATCCTTTTGCTTTATGAGGATACAGCAAGACGGTACTCTCTATGAACTAGAAAGCAGGCCCTCACCATAATGAATCTGTGGGTTCCTTGATCTTGAATTTCCCAGCTTCTATCTATCTATCTATCTATCTATCTATCTATCAATCAATCAAATCAAGACAAAGTTTTGTAGTTGTTACCCAGGCTGGAGTGCAATGGTGCGATCTTGGCTCGCTGCAACATCTGCCTCCTTAGTTCAAGTGATTCTCCTGCCTCAGTCTCCCAAGCAGCTGGGATTACAGGCATGTGCCACCACACCTGGCTAATTTTGTATTTTCAGTAGACACTGGGTTTCTCCATGTTGGTCAGGCTGATCTCAAACTCCCGACCTCAGGTGAACCACCCGATTTGGCCTCCCAAAGTGCTGGAATTACAGGCATGGGCCACTGTGCCCAGCCAAATTTCCCAGCCTCTAGAAATGTGAGAAATAAATTTCTGCTGTGTATAAGCCACTCAGCCTATGGTATTTGTTATAGCAGCCTGAAGAGACCAAGGAAGGCCTCACACTACAATAAAAATATGAGGCCAGGTGCGGTGGCTCA